TCCCCCCCCCCCCCCCCCCCCCCCCCCCCCCCCCCATAAAAGTCCTTCCTGGGTCCGTCTGTGATGCCAGTACCGGTTAATAAGAATTGTCAAAAACAAAACACCGAAACTGCCTCCTTTTTCTTTCTCTCCCTCACCTTCAGCATCCGTGATAAAGTGAAATTTGTTTGAGGAAAATTCTGCAGTGCACTTATTTCATTTCTTTTTTTTTGTTGGATATACGTATGTAAGTGCAAGTATCTCGGGTTAGCGGATCTGGCTGTTTGCTGATGCAACTCTGCGTCATCAAAATGCAAGCACTTACAGAATAACGAGGTCGATTGGGGTCAGTATTTTTTCCTCTAACAACGAGAGCTCAGCAGTAGCTTTGGCGCGTCCATGTTTGCTTGTAGAATATATCATGGCGAGTGGTCAGCAATGACGTCTTGAAATTCCGCGTCACTTGGTACTCTGATGCGGTTTTATAAAAATTGCAGCTCATCTTCGCTCTACCTCTTTGGTTCGGTTCATTGAAAGGAGCTGGTTAATTTCAAGAGTGCGTGTGTGTGCGTTTCGCCTGTTAACATCTGGTATTGCGGGATTGTTTGGCGCAAAGCAGCAGGTGCAAGGCTAACAATATTTACTGTATTATTGCTTCGTGTCCAGATTTTTCATCCGCACATAATCAGACGGATAATAAAAGGAAGCCTGCTGAAGAAATAGAAGTGAAGAGAGGATTATCTTACTAATTCTGGATTCATCTCCCGTTTTTATCATTATTGCTATTATTCACATCTCAAGGTATTATTGGAGAAAAGCATTTTGTATGCTTTAAAAAAGATGTAGGTTTTGTTTCTCATTCTCAATCAGATCTTTATTTTTTGTCTTTTTTCATATTTCCTTCTGCGTCCTATCCCCAGTTCCTGCCACCAGAGTGTCATCAGGGAACCATTTTATCGTCTTGAACTCCGGACTAACACCTCGTCTCCCTCCTTTTTCCCGTCCCCTACCTATGCCCCTGAGCTGTACCTGGGCACTTACCAACTTTGTGACTACTAGATGTAATACGATATAGCCATGAAGGGTGAATTTACAATGCTTCTGAAGGAGAGTCTCCTGACCGCGAAAATATCAATAGCATTGACAAATGTGCACTGTAGAATGAGCATGGATAACATCTCTAGACAAATTATCCCGAATTTTTGCAGCTCCAGCACTGAGAAACTTTGCACAAATTTTCTTTACTAGCTATCACTAGGGCAGACAGTCCCTCTACTTCGACGGTAAATTATGGGCATATGTCAGGATATCAGACGGCCATCAGTTTGCTTTTAAGCAATCTTTGAAAGAAGAAGCCACTGACAGACAACCTTACCGGTTGGGAATTGTCGTAGATATTTGCTGCTGCTTGGGTGGCTCATTCCCCGATTGCTTTCGCTTCTCATTATAAAAAGTGAGCACGGGGGGAGCTTTTTTTTCTGATTTTTATTGACTTTGGACGAATTTTCTAGTCATTGGTTTCTTCACTCCCATTGATTCCTTCATCCGGCTTATCATGCGCATTGCGACTAGGCGGCTGGTGTCTCCGGTCCGTACTTCGTGCTCTGCCTATGTTTACAGCTAAGGGATGAAACACAGTTTGCTTTCTAATATGCCCGTATTACACATGTTATTTAGGTTAATACCTTATCTCCGATTCCAATATATCTCTAGTGCTTATAGAATTCAGACTGAAATTTGATGATCCCCTTGAGGTTGTAGATTAACTTCTGCACAAGGACAACCAAACCGCCAATAATTTATTGCTTTTCCAGTGGTGTTTGAAAAAGAAACGATGTCATCAATACCTTACCCATTAAGTGTGCTTTTTCCGAGGTGTTCGATAAGTGCACCAACAACACCGATCACCAGTAAAGGAACCACGCAAAAATTCAAACTGGTTTGTTTGCCCAGTTTCTTTCTTCGGTGTTTTTTTTTTTTTGCATACTTTATTATCTATTGGACAGGCTTACTTGATTTTCTTGTGTCCAGTTCTGCGTTATTTTTTGGCCGATTAGTCGCTTTTTCTACTTTTTCCCACGCACATCTATCAAAATTTCCCATTTGCTTCTTCGCCCAGAAGCCGAGGAACTTTCTCTTGGACTGTGCTGGTTGCCAGTGACAAGATCAGGTTTCCAAAATTTCTCGAATTCACAGATTTGAATTTTCAGGTACAGAATCATTTCTTTTTTCAATCTCAGTCGTGTACAGCAGCACCAGTCCTTCGGCCACCTGCACACAGCGGCGGTTACGAATCGGAGTCCTCCGTTCACTGTAATCCCAAGCGTCGCTTAAATTTCAGCTTACCATCCAAGCCGGATTCATTGGATCCCAAACCGGCGATGGCGGTAACTGTGAGGCACCAACAACGAAGAGTACCATTACAAAGAAATCCGCTACAAAGATCATGGCCGGAAAGTTCACACATACTTTTATCAGTGCAGCGTGGAGCAGCAGTAGTAGCCTCAACACCTGTATCGTCTTTCGCGGTGTTTGACAAGTGCCCTCGGAACTCAGTAACTGCACCAAATTCTTCAACCATGACGGATAAAAAACAAGCACTTGCTCATCATACCCCACAAAAGAGGCCAGTTTTTCTGGATTTTACACCAAAAAGGAAGAAAGGAAGCCGTTCGACGCAGATGTTGTCATTGGCACAGAAAAACAAGAAATCGTCATCACCCGCTCACCCTAAACAGAAACGGCCAAATTCTCTGGATTTATCTCAGAAAACGAAAAAAGAAAACGCCGCGCAGTTGTCGGCACAGAAAGCAAAGACACAGTCACCTCCTTATGTTCAGCATAAACGGCCAAATTCTCTGGATTTGACTCCAAAACGGAAAAAAGAGAAACGTAAGTGGGATTTTATTTCAGGATTTAGTACTTCTATTATCATTTTTATTTACCTGGGCAAAATTTCATTTTTTATGGCTTATCGTCACTAGTGTACTTCAGAGGAACTTTCAAAAGAAGGAACCATTGAAAGCTCTACCGGCCAGTAAACGCAGTTCAAAATTTGTTTGATAACGTTCAAGCAACTTCCACACATACTTCCGTTTCTCACAGAAATTGAATGTGGAGAGATTTTATTCTGCATTTATTGATTTTTATACGTTTTTGCATGTATGTAAACGCAAAAACATATATTGGTGAAAGACATGGTCGCATAACTTGAGCGGGACGGGGAAATACCGATTGTTTTTGTGGAATCTGCACTAGTTT